ATATGGTACATATTAATGAAATTTCTCTGTGTATTATGCATTTATAAATGTACATTAATATGTGTAAATATAAACCTTGAAAAAGACCAGCAGAAGTTGAAACGTCGGTTTTTGGTTTGCACCTTGAATAAATAAAACTAAATTTTTTTCACCAAGTCCTGTGAGCGCATCCTATATTTTCAATTTGGTTATATATGGAACGCAACATGGATGGCACCCAGGCAGAAATTCAATTATATTTTTAAGGAGAGTGCCAAGCTATTATTTATATATATATATATATATATATATATATATATATATAAATAACTAATACACACATTAATATACATGTCATATACTAGTGGCGGATCCACAGCCTGAGCCTGAGAGGGGCACTTGTAGATTATTTAAAGAAATATTCCATGCACAATAACCACTACTCCTCTGTGTAGTGGTTATGGTGCCTGGAGCGTCGGCACCCCCTCCCAGAGTAAGTCGTCAAACTGTTTAAGAACAGTTTGACAACTTACCTGGAGTCTGCTGGGATATGGGGCTGTAGTAGGGTATAGGAGCAGTGGTGCAATGTGTGTGAAAGGTTCAGTGTGTGGGTGGGCAGTGTGTAAATCTGTATGGTGTGTGTGTGTGGGGGCAGTGTGTGAATGTGTATGGTGTGTGTGTGTGTGGGGCAGTGTGTGTATGGGGCTAGAGTTCACTCCTACTACTGGGACCACCAGGAAGTGGTGAGAGTGAACTCTAGCCCGTAGCTCCAGGGCTAGAGTTCACCCTCGTGAGAGCCGGAGCGTTGTCCCAGGTCCTCTCTTCCTCCCCTACCGACTGGCTGCACGGTGCCTGTGGAACGGGGAGGGAGATCGGCCGTGCCTTTTTGTCTCCCCCAGTCACTCTGTATGTTTCTTTCTCCCCCTCACTGCTCCTCTGTGTCAATGTCTCCCCTCTCCTTCCCAGTCTCTCTCTTCCCCCTCTGCCTCTTTCTTCCCCTCCCCTTGTGTGTCTCTCTCTCATTTCTCCCTCTTTGTCTCTCTCTTCCCCCTCTGCCTCTTTCACCCCCTTTCCCTGTGTCTCTTCCTCCCCCTTTCCCTGTGTCTCTCCCTCCTCCCCAACTCTCTCCCTCCCCCCTTTCCCTGTGTCTCTCCTGCTCCCATCTTTCTCCCTCCCCCACTTCCCTGTGTCTCTCCCCTTTCCCTGTCTCCCCCATCTCTCTCCCTCTCCCCTTTCCCTGTCTCCCCCATCTCTCTCCCTCTCCCCTTTCCCTGTCTCCCCCATCTCTCTCCCTCCCCCTTTCCCTATGTCTCTCCCCTCACCATCTCTCCCCTCTCCCCATCTCTCCTTCCCCCCTTTCCCCGTGTCTCTCCCCATCTCTCCCTCCCCCCATCTCTCCCTCCCCCCTTTCCCCGTGTCTCTCCCCTCTCCCCCCCTTCCTGTGTCTCCCCTTTCCTGTGTGTCTCTCCCATCTCTCTCCTCCCCTTTCCTGTATTTTCTCCCCATCTCTCCCCTTTCCGTGTGTCTCTCCCTCCTCCCTCTATTCCCCTCTCCCCCCCCCCTTTACCTGGAGAAGTCAGGGGGCCGACCGCGTTCCTGGCTGGAGCCGCCGGGCCGGGTGGCAGCTTCCCCGGTCCGGCGGCCCTGCTGCTGTCACTGCTGTGGCTGATGGAGGAGGAGCATGTCTCTGTACCATGCTCCCTTGCAGTTCCTGTGCCGGGAACCGCGAGGGAGCATGGTACAGAGACATGCTCCTCCTCCATCAGCCACAGCAGTGAGAGGAGTGCCGCCGGACCGGGGAAGCTGCCACCCGGCCCGGCGGCTCCAGCCAGGAACGCAGTGGGCCCCCAGGTGCCGCGGCCCACCGGGAAATTTCCCGTTATCCCGGTGGGCCAGTCCGGCCCTGCCTAACATGCACAAGGGTACCCGAAAAGCACTCCCCAGACAGACACATAACTCTGTCAATAATAACAATAGCCTCAGCAAAAACAGTATTTATGCCTGATTTTGCGCATGCTAGCACACTATATCATCACAACAAGCACCCTGCCAGACATGCAAACCACCATTTAATATTGTTGTTTTTATGCAAGGTCTGACTCCGGTCAGAACCTTTTACCTATTGCATGAACCACAAAAATGGTGCATCTTTATCCACATGCTTTGTATATGCAAACTGCCTTCTCGCATTGCCTACTAATGTCATGAATTATATAAAAAAAAAAACAAACATGGCAACATTTCATTCTTTGTGTGTTATTAGTTTAAGCAGACTGTGATTGTCTATTGTTGTGACTTAGATGATGATCAGATCACATTTTATGACCAATTTGTGCAGAAATCCATATCATTCCAAAGGGTTCACATACGTTTTCTTGCAACTGTATAAGTTGTGTTAACTTTTTTTCTTTTTTTGTTTGTGTGTGTGGGATGTTCTGTTTCCGTTTAAATTCATATTAAAGATACAGAAATTAAATCACTAATCAATTCAGATCAAAGACAGAGAAAATATTGAGAGGAAATATAATCATGGTTTCATTTCTCCTCTTCTCTCTATGCTTTCCCTATGCTTAATGTCAGATACAAAGGACAGAATTTGTAACAATCACTGACAGGGAGCTAGGACGGAGGCACATGGTTGCAGCATGAAAAGCAGGGGCGGGCTGGGCCGGGGGGCAGGGAGGCAATTGCCCCCCAGGCCGCCCTAAATTCTTTTAAGACCGGCCGCTGCAGGGCCGGCCCTTTAAATGCTGCAGCTGCCTGAGCGCTCTGTAAAGAGTCTCAGGTGGCTGCAGTTGCCTCAGGCACACGGAACAGGAGTTTCAGTTTCCTGTACCTGGCCGGACTGATAGGAAGTGCACACTCAGTGTGCACCTTCCTATCACTCCGGCAGGGCACCGCGGACCGGAGAGGAGCTCCGCCATGC